ATTGATCAATCCATAGAGATCTCCTCCGAAATATAATTAGAAGATGTTCTCAATTGCCGGTACTTTTAATCTGCACACACTACTTTATCTGAGAGAGAGAAACTTACCTGGTGCTAGGTAACCCCGTGTGCCTGCAAGCATGGTCCAATTTGATGAATCCGGCTTCAGTAGTCGAGCAATTCCAAAGTCGGAAACACAAGCCTTGAATTCGGAATCAAGTAGGATGTTGTTGCTGGTAATATCTCGATGAACGATAGGCGGTGTGCAGTCATGATGCATGTAGAACAGAGCACGAGCAACATCCTTAACGATGCTCAACCTCTTCACCCAGTCCAATTCAGCTGCAATCTCGCTTCGGAGGACAGATCCCAGACTTCCTCTCTCCATGTACTCGTACACCAGAAATTTGCGTCGGGGAGAGGAGTAGAACCCGTAAAGCTTGACGATATTGCGATGTCGAATTTGAGTAAGAGCTTGTATCTCAGTTTGAAAGGGTTGCTCGTCGCATGTACCTTCAGTGTCTGGTAGGTGAATCTTCTTCACCGCTAGCAGTTCCCCACTTGCTAACTCTGCTCTGTAGACACTGCCGTATGCACCGCTTCCGATACAGTATTTGGCATCGAAATCTTCGGTGGCTTCGATGATGCCCTTGTAAACATCTCTTCCAACAAAATTCAATATACAGAATGCACCTTCTTTCACGTGATTATTATCAACAGGTACTGGCGGCTTCTTTCTCTTGTGGAATCGTAAAGCAGCTGCAATGGATATAAACAAGAGAAGGAAGAAGACAACGGAAGCAATGATGGTTATTACAACCATGGAGGCAATCCTTGTTGGAGTACCGGGTGAAACACATGGAGGCAATCCTCGAACAACTCCACATAGATCAATGTTATGGGCAAACCATTCCGCTGGGGCTCTTCGGAAAGCTGGGCTATCAGGAACAGGGCCGTCCAGTTCATTGTAGGATACATCTACGGTAGACAAGCTCGTCATATACGTTAGCGAAGATGGAAGATGACCCGACAAGGAATTATGCGATAGATTCAGGCTTTGCAGCATCACCAATTTGCTGAGTTGGGATGGAATCTCCCCTGTTAGTGAGTTGTGGCTGACGTCAAAGGTGTCTTGAAGGACCACCAGATTACCAATGGCCAATGGAATGGTTCCACTGAAGTTGTTGTTGTTAAGCATCAACGATCGGAGTTTCATGCAGTCGCCTAATTGATCTGGGATTCTTCCTGCCAAGTTGTTGGATGAGAGATCAAGCAGTTCAAGATTGGACAGCATTCCAATCTCCAGAGGCACATGGCCGACGAGTTGGTTGTTGCTCAAGCTCAGATTATAGAGAAGGGTTAAGCTGCCGAAGCTATTTGGGATCTCTCCCTGGAGGTCGTTGGAAGAGAGGTCCAGCTCTCGCAGTTTCGTCAACTGCCCAAACTCGGTGGGTATGACTCCGGTGATATTGTTATTTGAGATTCTGAAGAGTGTCAGATTGTGCCATTTTGCCCAGTCTGGTGAGAGTGTACCGGAGAGTCGATTGAAGCTCAAATCCATATAAGAAAGATGGGGATACACTCCCAGATATTGAGATACATCCCCGGTGAATTGGTTATGCTCAAGACGCACCCTCACTAATCCTGTACAATTTTTCAAGGTCGTAGAAATGAGACCTTGGAAGTTGTTCGTATGAAGACTGAGGTGCTTTAGGGTTCCACCTTTGCATACGTTTGGGGGTACATGACCGACGAAGTTATTATTTCCCAATTGGAGATAAGTCAGTCCAATAATGTTGTTGATCTCCATAGGCAAAAGTCCAGACAACTGATTATTGAATACACTTAGCTCTCTGAGTTTGGTCATGTTTCCTATAGAGGAAGGAATTGAACTTGTTAATAGGTTTTCTGAGAAGTCGAGATCGGTAACCTCAACGAGGTTTCCAATCTCAAAAGGAATAGGACCTGAGAGCTTATTTCTCCATAGGACAAATGATTGTAGCTTGGTTAAGTTTCCAAATGAAGAAAGAACTCCACCTGTTAGATTATTATTGGCGACTGATAAGTAAATGAGATTAACTAGATTTTCCAATTCTCGAGGTATGACTCCAGTTAACTGATTTTGGTAAAGACCCAAGTGGTAGAGCTTCGTCAAATTTCCTAGACCAAAAGGGATTGAACCAAATAGGCTATTGGCCCCAAGATCCAGATACATCAACTCGTGGAGCCTCCCTAACTCCTTAGGAATGGCACCCACAAACTTATTATTGTCTAGGTCCAAGTATACAAGACCGGTGAGGTTGCTCAGAGATGGGGGTATAGCGCCAACCATTTGATTCTGGCTAAGACTCAAGAACTGAATATCTTTCATGGAGCTCATCTCAATTGGGATTTTGCTTGTGAACTGATTGCTAGTGAGATCAAGAGATACTAGCATGGAGAGAGTCGAGATGGCCGGAGGAATTACCTCACCGAGCTGATTATATGAGAGATTGAGACGCAGGAGCGATCCCAATGTCGAGAAGTCAAGAGAATCAAGTAGCCCTGCCAAGCCCATGCTCGGTAGTGATATCTCGGTGATCACCGAACGCCCTCTGCCTGTGACGGGGTTGCATGTAACTCCGGTCCAATTGCAAGGACTAGAATTGAGGTTCCAAGATCTCAGTGATTGACGACTCCTAAGAGTGGCTTTCCAGTGGAGCAACGCGCTCCCTTGGGATCCGAGTGAAGCTTTGACAAGAGGAACACGGGGAAGCAATAGCAGCAGCAGCAGCAAAGTGGCACAAAACAAAGTTTTATGAAGCTGAGATGCCATAAGTGTAGAATACAGCAAGACAAGAAGGCGAATAGTTTGTTTCTGTTGCATGGTAGTTGAGCAAAGAGATAAGGTATTCATAGGTGATACAGATCAATATTATTGGCCAATTCTCTCACTGCATGCGTGCAAAGGTCACTAGAATTCCACAACTATTACTCGAAATTCCATTCTGATGATCATGACATCCAGTGGTATGCATACCGCTTAGACTTTTTCTCTCATATATATATATTTTTGTCTTTGACATGAAAATTAATTTTTTTGTACTCTTGTAAATTGTAAACGAATCATACAGCAATGTCACAGTCCACGAGAGGTTTACAGGTGAATACAATACCGTGCCATTCATGGTATCGTAATGTCCACTAAAATTGAAAAATATAAGATGAAGAGATCATCGTTTGGTGGATCACAAAGTTGCAATGTTTTTAATCAAGTGGATATGTAAGAGATGAAGAAAGATATTTTTGATACGAATTTTGATGGTTTTGTATTTTGCTATATCAGCAATTAAGTTGATAAGCCATGCGAGAGGATGACTTCTATGTTGAATTATATGCTTCCCCTTTGATCATCAATTTTTTTTCTAAAGGAAAATAATAATAACTCAACAAATCGAATACAAATGTTTTCCTTTCATTAGGAGATTAAAATTTGCAAAGATCATTATGAAAATTTTGTTTCCACAAAAAT